TCTCTCTCTCTCACATACACACGCACACACACGTGCAAAAGCCTATGTGGAAGGCTCCTATTAGACTGTTGCATTAAAGGTGTGTAGGATTTAGGGGCATCTAGCGGTGAGATTGAAGATTGCAACCATCTGAAATCCCATGACCAAATGTGAAGGAGAAACTGCGACTGTTAAACCTGCAACATGTTTGGTTTGTCCGTTCTGGGCTACTGTAGAAACGTGGCGGTTCATTATGGCAACCTCCATAGAAGAGGACCCGCTGCCTCTGTAGATAAAATCGGCTCATTCTAAGGTGACCAAAACACAACGATTCTTATTTTCAAGTGATTATACACTAATGAAAACATATCTATGAGTATTGCATTCAATTTCTGCCAATAGATCCTCCTAAATGTTACACACTAGACCTGTAAAAGCAACTATTCATTGTAGTAACTGAGTTTTAATGTATGTATTGTGTGTTTATGTGTGTGTGTGGAGAAGGCCACTCGTCCTCCAGCGTTAGGTTTTCCGTGGGTTCAGTTGCCTCCGGAGTACAGAGGCTCTGGATTGCGCAATAAAGTAGGTACCATGCTGCACCTAGGCATGTCGGGAGATTTCCTCACTGACTAATAATAATAACCACCAACACGGAGGAAGAACACTGACCTCATCGTGGGACATTGTGTGAATAACACATTAAATGCCCTAACAGCATGTAGCTCGCAAAGCCAAAGAAGGATCGAATGAGTTTCTGCAGCACCTGTTTTGATCGTGATGGTATCTCAATGTACGCTGTGTAATAAGTCACTGTCAAAATAGAACTTGAAACCAGCAACTATCACCTTCTTAGATGAGCTGATAAAATTTATGGTGCTCTGTTCTGCAGAGGGTGTCCGGTTTACATATTCTGCATTCAGAACGGGATGCTCATCCTCCACTTGAATGAGATTCTGGATTTTGGAATTTTGAGTCATGGGTGGTTGTGGCCATGACTCTAAATATTGTCAACCATCTTTTAACAACAATATTGTTTTTTAAAGCACAATTCCAATGTGAAAACCATGTGACAAGGTCAAAGGGCTCGTGATGATGACCCTACAGAGAATTATCACCTGGATCTGCAGCAGCTCACTGATTAGCTGAGTGATTTTCGACTAGCTGGTGGACATAGTGGAGCATGTAGCCCATAACAAGCCAGATCTTTCCCATAGGAGTTGGTAGAGACCAAAAACCGAGCTAAAAGAGAGTTAATATTGGACTGATATTCATCCGGTGAACACAAACTTGACTCTAAGTGAATGATAAGGTTGCTCTGTAAGTGCTGGATGTCTAAATGGGCACCTGTTTGCTAACAAGTTGGCCATATATTAACTTGAAAGGTTAATATATGCTAATGTTGTGTCGCTGCCCCCAAGTAGCCAAAAATAGAAGAAAGAAAACAGTTGCTCAGCCAGTCCAAAAGAAAGGAAATTTAAGTGCAAAGACATAGAGGAAGAGAGATAGAGAAAGAAGAGAAGAGATAGAGAAAGCAGGAGGAGAAAGCAAAAGAAAAAATAAGAAAAGAGATGTAAAAAACAAATGTTGTTAATAAAAAGTTCATAAAAAAGAAACAAACAGTGTTGCAGTGAGTATTTGTGTGCATTAGCTCATGCTGTTCTGGATATATGGGAGTCTTATTACTTGTGCTAACCTTTGCTGATGTGGTCATGATACTACCATACAATCTCAGTGAAATACTGATCCTCTGCTCGTACTGATCCACCTCATTCATCACTCTATAATCCCCACTCTCTCTTTCCTTCCAACCATCCATCCCCTTCATCTTCCTGTATTTCCCTGCCTGGACTCCTTTTACACCTGGCATCAGCACCTGGCATGTGTGTTCATCTATTATATCTACACCAGGCTTTTAAAAGCACCTCCGGTACTCACACGTCTGATTCCCCTTTTTTCCTTTGATAAAAACAAACTGTCCATTTCTCTCTCCAGGCATCCAGTGGTAACTACTACTTCATCCCTTACATAGTGACTCCTAACCATGAGTATATGTGCTGTGAGAGTGACGCCCAGCGCAGGGCCAGTGAGTACATGCAGCCCAGCTGGGACAACCTGCTGGGGCCGCTCTGCGTTCCTCTAACTGACCGCTTCACCAGCCTACTGAAGGACATCCACGTCACATCCAGGTGAGACACATTTAAGCATAAACATGACCATGCACAAATAATCTTATTTTATTAAAAAAAGTACAATGGAAAACAAGTAGAGATATTGTGGAGTACAATTATTTATTTTTGTGCCACATTTGTTTAGTATTTCCTGTGGTATATAACAAAAATTCCTAATTATTAAAATTATGTGGCAACTAATAGATGGGTTAAAAATGATTAATCAATTTAAGTTTAGTCAACTTTTGATGAAGTATTTTAGAATAAAGTAGTAAATAGGTCGAAATATTACAACTTTTTTTCTCAAATAATTACTTTATTCTGCAATATTTTGTGACTTTAGTCTCAAAATCTCTGATGTTTGATTTTTTTCTAACAGTGGCCTTAATACTTATATTACATAAGTTATTAATTACATTTTGGACTGGGTACTGACTGGGTACTGAATTTAATGCTTTTGGCTTTTTAAGACCTATAGATAAAAACCTGGTAGTTTATTTAATTGTTTACTTGGTAGGAATGTGGCACATAATCCGCAGATCATTTGTGTTTTCTTCCCATGTTTTTCTTCATTTTGTATTAAGCGTTTTCTATGCTGAGTCTAACATATTTTGCTCTATTCTGCTTGTTTACTGTGTGCCTGTCTTCTGCAGTGCTTCCTTTAAGGACACCCTGCTAAATGACATCAGGAAGGCCCGGGAGAAGTACCAGGGAGAGGAGCTGGCCAAGGAGCTCTCCCGAATCAAACTCAGAATCGACAACACAGAGGTCCTCACCCAGGACATCGTCATGAACCTGCTGTTTTCTTACAGAGACATACAGGTACAAACGCACACAACAGTATCAGTAACAACAACAGTGCATCAAATATAGAATTTACCCTTTCCTAAACACATCATATTAAAGTGCAATGCCAGAAATAATTTCCCCTTATGTGACCACCAGGACTATGATGCCATGGTGAAGCTGGTGCAGACTCTGGAGATGCTGCCGACATGTGATCTGGCCACTCAGCCCATGATCCAGTTCCACTACGCCTTCGCCCTCAACAGGTACACAGAGGCTGGATTCAAACTCCTACAGGCCTACAGGAGAATCCATGTATTTTATTCTGTTGTGAGCCCAGATAACAGAATGTGCCTGTTGTTTTTAGTCTTTTTTCTGTTGTTCATAGTCATAACTACTTTTTTATTCTACCTCCCAAAAGGGATTGTCCACTGACGTATTCTGCTGAGCTGCTTGAGTTAAGACCATAATCTGAATTTATGGCATCTGTTTTACTGTCAAAGACATTATTATGCCATAGAAATGTATAATTTATGTTAAAACAGCATGTAAAAATTGTCAAAGAGACAGACAACTAGACAGCTTGCAGGAGAGATACATCACATGTCATATAAAGTTAATGCTTAACTACATTTATTTAGACTGAAATCACCCATTTTGATGAACCAAGAGCTCGACAGATGAGTTTATTATCCTATTTGAGGCAGTAAATAAATGAACTCTTTGTGGACAAAAAACAAATATGTAAATATGGTAGGGAAACAATTAATCATGAACTAATGGACTGTAAATATTTAGAAAATAGATTATTTTCTCAATTTTTGACCCTAAACAGACATAATGGCATTACAACATTTGTATCTGTTACACAGTTTGCTGGCCAGCCTAAAAACTTAAGACTGTTTCTGTAGTTACTGCTCTCTGCCTTCAGCAGTGTAGTTAGTTCTCTATGTAAAGTTAGAACTACAGCACTATAAGGTTAAATGACCCGGGAAGTAACAATACACCGCGTAGTTCAACGCACAACTCTCAGCTTAACATCCATCATTGATTTATGAATCTGTATGTGTGCAGAAGGAACAGTCCTGGTGACAGGGAGCAGGCTCTCAGAGTGATGCTGCAGGTGTTGCAGTCATGTGAACATCCAGCGCCGGACATGTTCTGCCTCTGTGGACGGATATACAAGGACATCTTCCTGGATTCAGACTGTAAAGACACCAAAAACAGGGACAACGCAATCCAGTGGTGAGAACACACACTGCAAGTGCTTCTAGACACAGAAGATTATACTACATTTTATGTCTTTTTCATGAATGTAACTCACCTGTCTGGCTTAAAATAAATGCTGTGAACTGTTTTCGCACGCTATCAAAATTATGCGATCTTATTACATTTACATTTATTTATCTGTGTCACCCGCCACCTGCAGGTACAGAAAGGGTTTTGAGCTGCAGCCAACTCTCTACTCCGGTATCAACCTGGCTGTCCTCCTCATAGTTGCTGGCCTGCAGTTCGAGAGCTCCATTGAACTGAGGAAAATAGGTAAGAGGATCCTGAACCTGACACCCACTTTGATTTATTGTCTAGCCAGCACACAAGCCAGAACACCCAAGCTGGAGGCGTCGGATACAAACATCTTCAAATGTATCCGTAGGATTTAATAATCCATAGTTTACTGTATCTACTGTCACTGTGCCAAACTTAGTTCAGTTTCAGAGTGTAGAGTCATTTTAAGGCTAAATAAATCTACATGTCTGTGCTTGAATTGAACTGTAGTATGCTAAGGTAGACAGTGGTGCCTGAATGAGTTTTGAATTGGAGGGCATCCAGCTTTGGATGATATAATACGCTTGTGAGCATTGTCATGTCAACTTCATTTCAATCTCAGCCCAGCCTGCTGTTTTTGCACAACAAAAATATGGAGGGAAATCAAAGGCGTCAATTAAGCCAGGAAAGCCATCCATTCTGATTATCCTAGAGGTCACAGTAGGTCATTTTATACAGTGAGCTCAAGTTTACGTTATCATTTGTATTCATCATCACACATGAATACAATTGAGCTCACTGAATCAGCTTTCCACTCCAATTCATGCAATTTCAATACTGTTTATGGACCCCAGTATGCAGAAATATTCAAATACACTAGGTGAAAATAATATTTATACAGCATACAAAAAAAACTGCATGTCATGAAAGACTCGTGGGTACCCATAGAACCCATTTTCATTCATATATCTTGAGGTCAGAGGTCAAGGGACCCCTTTGATAAATAGCCTTGCTAGTTTTTCCATTGCCAAAATGTTGCCTAACTCTGGAGCATTATTTAGCCTTATTCTCAACAAACTAGACATGACATGGTTGGTACCAATGGATGCCTTCTAGTGTCTTCTGTCAGCTATGGACGTATTTGGTTACTATAACACATGAAAGTCTCCTTTATTCCGGTACCAGTGAAGGTAGATGATATTTACAACTAGCATTAAGGTATGCTGAAAATGAAGAATTACAAATACGGTACAGAAATTGCTAGAAAATGGTTGTTCTCCTTTGAAAAAATATTCTACAATGTTTTCACACTTATAATTTGATGTCATAGGTGTGAGGCTGAACAGTCTGCTGGGTCGCAAAGGTTCCCTGGAGAAAATGAATAACTACTGGGACGTGGGCCAGTTCTTCACCGTTAGCATGCTAGCTAGCGACATCCCTAAAGCTACCCAGGCTGCCGAAAAACTCTTCAAACTCAAGCCGCCTCTCTGGTAAAGACATTCACATTACAAAGAGGTTTTATTCTGTGTTGTCAGTACATTAGAATGTAGGTATACTATATACTTTTATGTTTTAAGCTTCTTAAACTTAAGCTTAAGCTTGGAAACAGTGATTGTGATTGGTTCTTCCAGGTATTTGCGGTCTGTGGTGCAGAACCTGCAGCTGATCCAGAGGTTTAAGAAGCAGACGATAGAGCACTCTCCTCAGCGGGAGAGACTCAACTTCTGGATGGACATCATTGTAGAGGCCACGCAGGGCACCACCAATCGACTGCGGTTTCCAGTACAAAACAAACACATTTACGCACACACTCAAACATGCTGGAACAGATATTCATGCAACATACACACTAACAGGTCTTTTTCTCTTTCTGTTACAGGTGTTGATTCTGGAGCCAACTAAGGTTTACCAGCCCTCCTATGTGTCCATTAACAACGAGGCTGAAGAGAAGAATGTCTCTATCTGGCATGTTTCTCCTACCGAAACGGTAAGCACATTAACCGTCTTCCTCAGCAATCATTGCATTGCACCTTCGACAATTGTCTTTCACTAAGTGCTAAGTGAAAAAGCAGAAAACTATAAGTATAATAGAGTTGGAGTACCACAAAAAGGTTTCTACTCTTGGCTGAGGTTGAAAAGTGCAATAGAAACAGATTTAGAGAATAAAGCATGAAGTTCTTCACTTTTCTACATGGTTTTTCCACAGTTTAAGGTATGAGTGGTGCTCTTTCAATTTCATAATTTCTTTTTTTACTCTGCAATGGTTTAATGGCATTCAACTGGAGAATTAGTGCCACCAATCAACAGTTTTATATTTGCACAATGACAGTGGATGAAAATGAGCATTTATGCTACATTCAGATGGATTCAGGCAAACGACTGACGGAAAATTAGGTGAGGCTGGCAGAGAGTATCAGCAATGGTAATAGTAAATGGCGTCCGAAGTTAAAATATTTAAACTTTTTGCCGTCCTCTGCGACAGAATTTAAGATTGATGTTACGTAGCTCTCTTACACAAGGAGAAAACATGGGCTAGGTGGACAACAAGATGCTAATAATTCATAAATGAAATGAAATGTTCACAAAATAATTTTATCTAATATATTTTATTTGTTTTTTTGTAAAGAATACATCACCATAGCAACATATCCGTCGGAGGGTTTGTTTTGTTTTTACCGCCTGAATTCATGTGAATGCAGCATAATTCACATTTTATTCAGTTCACGCTACATTTGGATGGAAACCAGGCCTGTCCTGTCCTTCTCTACCTTGTCCATTTTCAGGATTAAAACTTTGACCGAGTCCTAATGCTTTTTATCTTGGTTGAATATATATTCTGCCCAAATCTAATCAATGTGAACAATGTGAAAATTAAAAACGTCATTCAATTTCATTACAGAAAGGGATCCATGAGTGGAACTTCACTGCAATGTCCATCAAAGGCATTAGGTATGAATGTGAAGTTGGAGGTCAATACAATGCAAATGTTAGGCATGTTGGACATTATGCATGCACTGTTAAGTGGGTTCATTATTATAAGAGGTACAAAGTCTTTATTTTAATTTTTTTATTTAGAGATAAGTCCTACAAATTAAAACATGTAACTCAGATGAGGTAGTTGATCGTGCAAGATTGCATTCAATGCTGGGATTTCACTTGTACTATAAAAACTTTTAATAGATGGTACATTTACATTTGGTGATACCACAGAGGTAATTTTGATAATAAATAAATGAATCTAAGCATTCATATTCTCTAACTCTCCTGTCTGCAGTATCAGTAAGTTCGATGAGCGCTGCTGCTTCCTCTACGTCCACGATAACTCAGACGACTTCCAGATCTACTTCTCCACTGAGGAACAGTGCGGTCGGTGAGGACACACACCTCTAGATGTGTCTGTGTAGGTGTGTGTGTGTTTGTCTGCGTTTGTGTTTGAACAGTACGTATGTGTGATTGTACTCCAACATAACCTGATACCCATGAAAGGGAAATGCTAATGTTATAATATTTGCGTCTGGCTGTGTGTACATGTGTGTTTCAGGTTCTGCTCCATGGTGAAAGAGATGATATCTGATGGGACGGGAAATGCTGTGGAGCTGGAGGGGGAAGGAGACGGAGATACACTGGAGGTCAGGGGGGGTTTGGCATAAATATAAGTGAAACATAATTTTAAAGTTAAATGTCTTTATTGTTCCAGCTGGTCATTACTGATTAAGAATATGTCTGTGTGTGATGATGTTTGTGTGGGTTTTACAGTATGAGTATGACACCAATGAGACAGGGGACAGGGTGGTGTTGGGACGGGGCACCTATGGAGTGGTGTATGCTGGGAGAGACCTCAGCAACCAGGTCCGAATTGCCATAAAAGAGATCCCTGAGAGAGACAGCAGGTAGGTTAAAGTTTACCCTGTTCAAAAACCTTCTTCTACCTTCAAAACGTTGTAGGCAAAGTTTGTTTTACACTCACAGAATGAACCGTTCGCTTAATCCCCTTACTGTAGCTAAGGTCCAAAATACTGTCTTCCTGTTGATTTATTTTAAATCAAAAGCTATATAAAAGTGAAGCCAAAGCTAGTTTGCCCTGGTATATGCCCCTATTAATTCAAAAGCTTGTTTTACAGTCACAGAATTAACAGCTATTTTTTTAAAACAGCAATTGGCTCCTTTTGATTTTAGACAGAAGTAGACAAAAAAACCGGCTTCTCACTTCTAATCGTTGACCATCAATTTTGTCTGAAATATCAACTGTCACTGGCACATTTGATGAGCTCGCAAATGAAGCTAATGTTGGTTGAAAATGTGACTTATTTCAAATCAAAAACTATGTAAAAGGGTCCTAAATATGCATTTGGTGGCTATGATTATAATCTTTCATTCAGAAATGTGTAGGAAAATGTTTTTCCATTTTGTTCTAATGTGACTGGAATACTGCTGCTTGGGAGAGTGGAATAGTGAACTGTCAACTAAATGAATGTTGGAGAAACATTGTTAAAATTCACTGTAAATGTTTTTGGCAGCTGTTTAAAGAGTAACCACCAGAGGTTTGGATTATGGGACAAACAAGGCATAGTAAAGGTTATATCCTGTGTGTTAATGAATGTCTTATTTAACCAAATTTGTATAACACTAGGTTATTTGTACCAGATAGTGGTGTAAAAATGTAAGAATGTGGAGCAGGTTGATGCTGTAACTGTATATGCAATTGGATAAATAAAGGTAAAAAAGTACGTCTCCTTTTCTCTGTAAATTAGGTACTCCCAGCCCCTTCATGAAGAGATTGCCCTTCACAAGTACCTGAAGCACAGGAACATTGTTCAGTATTTGGGGTCGGTTTCTGAGAACGGATACATCAAGATCTTCATGGAACAAGTGCCTGGAGGTATGTTTGTACCAGAGAGACTAACATGGTAAAACAATTACACAGATGTTTAAACCAGGACTAGATTTTGTGTCTAATTTGTGCTTTACTGATAATTTCATCCTGTCCAGGCAGGCAGATATTCTCATTAAAGAAAACTCAGCTCAGATCTGATGATCTGATGATGTTTGTTTCAGAGATCGATGCTTGTGACCTCTCGGTTACTGGGCGGTCTCTCTAACTGCTTGGTCATCTTCCCATTTCATGATAGGTTTTGGACACTCCTTCTCTCCTTTCTCCAGGAAGCCTGTCTGCGTTGCTGCGATCGAAATGGGGCCCGCTGAAGGAGGCAACTATAATATTCTACACCAGACAGATCCTGGAGGGGCTCCGATACTTGCACGAAAACCAGATTGTCCACAGAGATATCAAGGTACATGGAAGCACATTGAATGAGACCTTCTTACAAAACTAGTCTCTGATTCGATCAAGTGGTGCTATTAAAGGTAATATGGGTCTGTTTCTCCATTAGGGTGACAATGTGTTGGTGAATACCTACAGTGGTGTCTTGAAGATCTCAGACTTTGGTACCTCTAAGCGCTTGGCAGGAGTCAACCCCTGTACGGAGACATTCACCGGTAACTTGTTTACACCTTTTCTACCTGCTATAAAGTCTGTAACTAACTGGCATGCTACAAATATCACATTTTTGAATAGAAATGCACTTCAACAGGTGGTTCCTTAAATCCGTTTGAAGGATTTTATGACTGATGGTACATCAATGGAGCTCCATTATATGGGCAATGTAACAATGGAAATGGTTTGAAGCGTGAACATCTGCCAAATCTGTGGTTTTAAAGGACCAATGTATAGGATTTTGGTGTAGTTGCAGATTGCAACTCCCTTGCTTCACCCTCCCCAGCATTCTCTTAAGCCCAGTGTCTGGTTTGCTCATTCTGGGCTACTGTAGAAACATGGTGGTTAGACCTGACGACCTCCACGGAAGGCGATCCAAGGCGTCTGTAGATAGAAGCTCATTCTTAGGTAGCGAAAACATAATTATTCTTATTTTCAAGTGATTTTACACTAATTTACACATAATAAGGATTATTATCGTCCATTTATGTCAATAGATCCTCCTTAAAAAAATATGAAATGTTTCTCCTTGTTTAACATAAAAGAGACAATCAATTAAATTATTACAAAAATGACTTTTCTGAACAACTTGTCTTGAACAAAATGGATAAACTGCTTCAATATTGGCTTGGAGAAAGAAACACATGTCACAAGACAGTGATTCAGCATAAATGGAGTCATAGAAATGCTGCAGACTATGAGTGTAAATATCAAATGACCCTCAAAATGTCAAGAGCCACTATCAGCCTCTATGGAAACACTCAGCGTCTACAAATGTGCGTGTGCACACATACAAGCATGCACATTCATTTGCCATCTGGCCTTCTCCAGCAGCCAGTGGGGTGCGTAATTAGATTAGCTAATCAAGCAGAGGCAGAAGGGTGTTTACCTTTCATTAGCAGGTGTGTGTGTATCTCTGTGTGTGT